TCTTACAGTGCCAGATCTGGTGAATAAGGTGGATAAGGACGCACTGCCATGATTTTCCAAGCCTGCCCTTCTGTTGGATGGCATTTGGCAAAAGCATTCACTGTATTTTTCTTGTATCTCATGAAGATACTTACAAAAGAGGACTTACAGAACTGCTTCAGAAAGTGGCAAGAATTATAGAATAAATATTTTTGAAGTTCAGGGGATTAATGGCAATGTGCCTTCTATTTTAATAATTTAAAAAATTAAATATTCACTGTATTTTTTTCATAGCCCCTTGTACATAGGTGGTGGAAATGTAAAATTGTGTACCTGCTTTGGAAAATAGTTTGCCAGTGCCTGAAAATGTTAAACAGTTATTAAAGGACCCAGCAATTCCACTGCTTAGACATATATTCCTAAAAATGAAAATATATATCCATATAAAAACATGTACACAGGGCCAGGGATTTAGCTCAGTGGTTCTGCCGCCTGCCTCACAAACACAAGGACCCAAGTTTGTTCCCCGGTACCAAACCAAACCAAACAAAACAAAAACATGTACATAATGCTTGTAACAGCATTAATTATAATAATCAAAGAGTAGAAACATCCTAAATACCCATTAACAGATGAATGGATAAATAAAATGCATTATGTGCATATAATGGAGTATTACATAACAAGAGGGAATGAAGTACCAATACTGTATGTGCTACAATATAGATGATCTTTGAAAATACGCTAAGTGAAAAAAAAGAGCCTGACACAAAAGGCTACATATGTTATATGATTCCATGTAGATGAAATGTGCAGAATAGGCAATCTATAAGGATAAAATACAGATTATTAGTTGTCTCTGACAAGGGACTGAGAAATGATTGTCAATATGGTACTACAGATTTCTTTTTGGGGTGAAGAAATTATGCTAAACTTAAAAGATGGTGATGGTTGGTGCATATGCTAAAGACAAATGAGTTGTATGTGTTACATGGATAAGTTTTATGGTACATGAATTTTATCTCAATGAATATGTCTAAAAATTTGGAACTGTGATTATACAGGAGCAAACTGTTTTCCAACTAATTCAGTCTACTTAATTGTTCAAGATTCTGTGAATCATGAAATGAATATAAGTAACTTTTCATTTTAAGACATTGATATTACCTGTTTTCAAATTTATTTCCATAAATATGCTCATTGTGAACTAGTCCTATATTTTTAAAGTTCTATTGTAGCCTTAATTACAGGGCCCATTTTATTCCTAGGTTGACTGATTTATGTCCTCACTTTTTTCATTTATCTAACCAGATTAATTTTATTCATTCTGTATTAACAATTGTATTTCCCTTTATTAGACTGAGTTTACCTTTATTTTTTATATTCTGTTTGTTTTTGTTCTTTAAATTCATTGGTTGCCTTAAACATTAATTTTACATTTTTTTGTAGACTGTGCACTGAAATTGTTAATTTTCTTCTGACTGTTTTCATTCATTTTATAATTTGATAGTTTAAAGATATCACGTTCTAAATTTTTCTGATTCTCTTAATTATTGGTCCATGTATTTTTTTACAGTGTTTTTTTCAGAAAAACATTAAATTCACAGAAAAATTGAAAGACCAGGGTAATAGAACATTTATCTATCCACAACTTAACAACAGCAAATGTTAACATTTCTTCATAAAATAAATAAGTTATTGTGAATTACCCTGATTTGATCAATATATGTTGTATACATGAAACATCATGCTGTATCAGATAAATACATCTGTTTATTACATTACCACAACTTTTTAAAAAAGCATTCTAATAGCTAATGTTTATTTCACATATATTTTTCTAATGTGCATGTGAGGCAGCATGATACTTTAGTCCTAAGTATTTTAGCTTGTATATTTTGAAAATAAGAATCACCTCCTTTATAATAGTATTTTTATCTCCAGTAAAATTAATAAAACATTTCTTATACCAGTTTTATTTAAATTGTTTCCAAAATGTATTTCATAGCTATTTATTTTGCACTAAGACCCAATCTCATTAATTTGCTTTTAACTGTCATGTCTCTTAATCTACTACAGTGCCTCTGCTTTTTTCCACCCACACTGTTTTAGTTACTTTCCTTGTTGAGACACAGTTCCTGACATCCACAATTTAAATGAGGAGAGGTTCACATTTTCATCTCGTGGTCAGCTGGCTCCAAAGCAGAAACTGCATGAAGGGAGGGCCAGGTGGAGGAAGACTTATTCAATCATGGCAGCCAGGAAAAGAGAGGAAGGGGAGGAGCTGGGCATGGAGATAACCTTCCAGGTCATTCCCACAGTAACCCACCTCCAGCCAGGCCCTTTCCTAACAGCAAGTCTGCCACAGTCCCACATGATCTAATCACCCTCAAACACATGAAACATTTTTGGGCCATTTTAGCTCTAAACCATGAGATACTGATATTTTAAAGACTTGTAGGAGGCTCTGTATTCCATATAGTCTTCATACATTCCTTCTGGTGTCATTTATCTGTTCCTCTATCTTCTTTATTTTCTGTAAGCAGGAAATTAAGGCACAAGCCTTCCTTAGATTCAAGTTAAATATGTTTCTTGCAAAAACAGCTCATAGGGGATACAAAATACTTTTCAGCATCACATGAGGAAGAACATGTGAGGTGATTGCTCCCTTATAAAACACAGGTTTTTTTCCCTTTTCAAAATATCAGAAGGTGATATTTACACTGTTTGAATATTCTATTTCCCACTAGACTTTTAGTGATGGCCTTAGCATCTATTAGTCATCTTTATTTAGATCAATTTTTTCATTGGGAATAGATAATGATGGTATTTCTGTGGTAAGCTTTGTTTTTCAAGTAGAAAAACACTGTTCTGTCCCCCTTTTATAAAACTTAAGACTAAGTGTTTTCTTTTAAAAAATGTTTTCATTAAGGTATAATTTACTAACAGTAAAATTCACTACCATGTAAGTGTATGAAGTTTGATTATTTTAACGATGTATATACAGTTCTGAAACCTCCACCATGATGATATAGAACACGATGTTTCTCACATCTAAATACTTCACTTGTGACTCTTTTTAGTAAATCCCTTGATGATCCCTTACAACTATTAATCTGCTTTTTTTCCTCCAGAGTTTAAGAATCAAATGTAATCAAACAAAACCCAGTTGCAAAATACAAAGTTCTTCTTGGTATGATTTTCAGATGTGTGCATGTCATTAGGTTTATCAATAGTTGATTCCTTTTCATTGGTGATAAGTATTTCATGTATAGATGGATATACTACACATTGTTTATGTATTCAGAAGTCGGTGTAAATTTGAGTTGTTTCTAGTTTGGGGTTATTATGAGTAAGGCTTCTGTAAATATTTATGTGCAAGTATTTGGGTCAATGCATGTTTTCATTTCTTTTGGGCAAATACGGAGGAATAAGAGTCCTGGCTATTCTCAAATTTCTGTTTAACTTTACAAGAATTGGCCAGTTGGTTTTCTGAATTTGCTATTCTATTCTCTAATTCCTCTAGCAATGCATGAGAATTTCAATTGTTAACACTTGATGTTGTCAATCTTGTAAATTTTGTCAATTTCAGTGGGTGTGTGTAAATCTCATTGTGATTTTAATTTGCATTTCTCTAACGTATAATTCTATTGAACATCTTTTCATGCATTTATTTGGCATTTTTGTATCTTTGGTAAAGTGCATGTTTAAATATTTTGTTCATTTTAATTGGGTTGCTGTCTTTTTAAGTGGTAGGATTGGTTACAAAAGTTTTTTTTCTGAATTTCCATATATGTGTGCTATATCTTTATTATCAATTTTATCAAACATGGTCTGAGAAAATGTTCTCAATGGGACTTGTTTATGGACTAGTAGTCTTTTGATAATGTTTAATTAAAAGGAAATGCAAAATGCTTCTCAGGTCCATTTTCTCTCAGAAATCATGTCCTATATCAGTACTGCTTGAATTTAAGAATAGAAAACTCTTGCAACAACATTCCTGGACCATAAATAGAGAAGTACCTTTGCCGCACAAGGTGTTTGATTCCTTCATTGGTTCATTATTTTATTCAGATACATTGAGTATCTGTCACGTGCCTGATCCTTAGATAGGTTCTGAGACACCATGAATGTTGAGTAGAGTTAAGTTACCTGATAACCTGGATAAACAAAGTTTTCCCATATGCCTTTTCTGGTTTTATATAAAGAAGAAAATCATAGTAAGAAACTACAACTAGCAGGTCACTCTCTTCTTGAAATACCTTCTCTAATAGCCTCCTGGTAGAAGGTCATTTACGTGGTTTGCCTTCTTCCTCCTCAGCTGCCTCTGTTTGGTCTCCTTTGTTGCTTCCTTTTCATTTTCTTGACTGTTTACAGCTGGAGCACTTCACATTTTAATCCTCAAACATCTCCAATATACTCATAGTCCTGATGGCCCCCTTATCTGATGGGCTTAATTTCATCTGTGGCCTGTGCAACTCCCAAATTCACATTTCTACCCTGGATTTGTATCCTGAACACCATACTTTGATATTTTTTCAATTGTATACTCAACACCTTATTTTGGTTTAAAAAAAAATCAATAACAACAACCACCACCAATGTAAACTCCACTTAAACAAGTTCTACCACTATAAACATTTATATTGTGCTTACTGAAAGTCAGGAACTAGTCTAAGAGTTTTGCATGAATCAACTATTTCAAACGTTAATAAACATCTCAGCTTTAACACATCTAAAAGTGCATTCTGGACTTTTCTACCAAAGTTTGCTCCACCTAGTTTTGTTTTATCAGTTAACTCCATCCTTCTGGTTGCTAAGGTGAAGTGCTTGGAGTTATTTACTCCTTCCTTTCATACCACCTACTTGAGTAAGTATGTTTACTCTCAGTTGAAAAACCATCCCCAGTTGCCACCTGTTTGCCCTTGCCCTTCTTGGTATCATTCTGTCCCAGCCATCATATCTCTCACTCAAATTAGGGAATAGCCTAATCCCAGATCTCTCTGCTTCCTCCTTTTTACCTCTATACTTCATTTTCAATGTGGCAGTCAGAACGATCCATTAAACTATTCAGATGATCATGTCTCTTCCTCTGCTTCTTCGACTTTCCATATTACCTAGAATAAAAACTAAGGTCCTTAAATTGCCCAGTTAGGGTCCAGTTAGCCCTGATGCAAGTCAAACCACCAAGACAGCAAAGTACCCAACAGGACTTCTAAAATTTCTTGCACAGGATGGTTCCTAAAGTCTGGTATCTAGTTCTCAACCCAAGTCTTTTTTTCTAGGCAACACTGATTTCCACAATGTGATTACTTAACTTAGACACCAGCATAATAACTCATTATCTTTTTTGAAGTATTTTCTTGCTACCACGTTAATCTTTTAAGAAAATTTTTGTTTAATATTGATAAACACATTAAACAATATGACAGTGGAAAACTCAATTTTTAAGTATTAGTTAAAATATTAGAGCTAAACTATTAGTTTAAAAATAAGTTAAAACTAATATATTAGTTAACATCTTTAAATGTGACTAGTTGTCTTTGACATTTTATTTTATTTTATTGGGGAGAGTCACTCTTGAATCCCACTTTATCTCAGTACGCCATATATGAGTTTTAATTTTCACCTGAAAATCAAACTTCAAACCATCAGTATTCAGAGTGCCTACAGCTCACAGTGGTATTGTAAGCGCCGCTGGACTATAAAATAAGTGGGAGACACAGCATCTGCGCAGATAAGTGGGTACTTAACGTGGCTTGTACATATTTTTCAAGTACATCATAAAGCAAAAGCATGATTTGGATACTAATTTAGAAGTCTATTCAATTTTCACAGTAAAGTGTATTTATTTTTTTCCTAGCACTTATTCGTATCTGAATAAATGGCTTAAATTTTTCCTTTTCAGCTTTTCCCCTGGTGATTTGTTTATCTAACAAATTATTTCTCCAGCAAAGATTGTCATTTAAAGTAGTTGAACATTTCCCAGCACTTGATGTAAATGCACAAAACCAGGAACGATCCCACTGGTTGTATTCTTTCATGCTTTAAGACTTGTTTATGTGTCTCTAGGACCATTGTTATTTTTATTATACTTTAAAAAATTTTGCAGTAATCCTTATGAGTCTATCATCCAGTACAAATACATATGATTATATTAAAGTGGTATATTGAAGTAGTTCAAAGTATATGATTGTAAAGAGCACCTCATTTCATTTGTAAAAGAAACTATTCCAGTTTGAAAAAAATACTAATTTCAGAAGTCATAATTTTCTAATAAAATAGCATTTCTTTAAAAGTAACATTTCCATGAGAAAATGGAAAAAAAAATTGAGAATTCTTTAAACTCAGAATGGGTTTAAATTGAGTTCAGCATTTTTTTGCCCAAAGTAGATTTCTTTTTATCTCCAGAAATGCCAACAGGAGGCAGAGGGTCCAGCTTCTTTGACAATTACACGCCCTTTCTCCCTCCATAAGCTTAATTCCCAGATGTACTTGGGAACCAACTTCTGACTCCAGACAAATGGCTATTAGTTCCAGCTCTTACCTGCCAATTAACAATACTTTGGATATCTGTGACAGTCTCCGGGTCAGCCCCACGATGAGATTAAGGGACCTGTTTGTTTAGTTCATTAGCAGAAATTCGTTCCACTCGGACTGAGCTGGGGGTGAGGGTGTGGAGGGAACAGGCGCCTGCTGGAATGGATTTTTTTCTCTTTCTTACTAGAAACTGGGAAATGAAAGCTCTACTTCCCCTTCTGGATCCTTGCTTCCCCTTTCAGTTCCTCCACTCAGGGCAGACAATAGAAGCCTTCAGGCCCCTTCTTCTCTTTGGGTGCCTGGGTCCCCTGGCCCCTCTTCTCCCCTCCCCCAGTCCTCCCCCAGTCCTCTTAACTCCGGCTCCAGGCGGCTCCAGGCGGAGATTTGTCAGAACCGTTTGGTTGAGACTGATTATGATTGCAGCAGATGGGCTGGATTTGACAGCACTGAATCTAAGCAGCTTCTGGTGGGGGTTGTGAGGGGGGGGGCGGGGGGGGGGGGGCGGAGGGGCGGGAGGGGGAGAGGGTGGGGGTGGGAATCCCAGGGCCTGAGCTGCCAGGGTAGGAGCGCGTGCCGGGCGCCCAGCGGCTCTTTAACGTGCGCTTCGGTGGAGAGCGGCACTGCCTCCTGCCTCCCCCAGAGGCAGAGCACGAGGGAAAAGTCTCGTGGCGAAGAAGGCGCAGGAACACCAGAAGGGAGGCGTAAGGGGACCTGCGGCGGATCACAACAAAGCGGATGAGCGCGAGGTGCCTGGAGCGTGGACGGTGCGTGTCCCAGGCTTGACATGGCAAGTTTGTCAACTCTGGGCTCTGCGACCAGTGTCTTGCTGTTCCCGAAGTGACGGTGCTGCAGGTCTGCCCAGAGGGGGCAGCGCCCACCGGGGCCCTGCAAAATGCTCCACCGCAGGCCAGGTAAGGAGACGCCAGCCCACTCCCCTCCTAGGCGAGTACTCAGCGCGGCCTCTCCTGCGGTGCTGGCTGCATCCTGTGGTCCTTGGGCTCTTCCTGGTCCCGGACCACTTGCTTCTGGGACTCTCTTTCCTACGCACCGGGACGCCTCTGCCTGCTGCGGCCCTTCCTCGTTGTCACCCTCCCTTTCCCTCTTACCCGATCCCAACAACAGGGGGAGAAGTTCGGGAAGGTGGTGCAAGGTTAAGGGTTGTCTTCCCAGAAAGCCTGGGCCAGAACAGCGCTGCTGGTCTGCCAGTGGCATTTGGTCTGGGAGTACGCAGTGTTCGCACACCCACCGCTCCGCTCCGCTCCAGCTCCGGCCGGCTCCCGCTCCCGCTCCCACGCGGCCGAGCCGCATAGCGCGTGCGCACCCTCCTTTCCACCTGTGGGGCCTCGCTTTTGTGCTGGAAGCTCAAAGAAAAGCAAGCATGCACGCACGTGCAGACACACTTCCACGTTGGCACTTTCCGGAGACTCCTGATGGGTGAGGGTTGTACGGGGTGGGCTGGGGGGTTTGTCTCGAGTACCTCTGACTACCCTTGGCGCAGGGTCCGCGCCTCTGCAGTTCCTTGGTCTTGACTTCAGTGTTCAGTCGCTAGCAAATTTTGGCTCCTGGGGGTGGTGGTGGGCTGGGAAGGGGCTGCTGAATTTGGTGTAGGCATTGCTGTGCCACTGGAAACCTATCCCCCTCCTTCAGGTCAGCAGCCTAGGCCTCCTTGACCCCAGCAACCTCCCTCCCAGATGGAATCCCTAACCTTGTCTGCCCAGGTCTCACTCAGGTGACACCTCCCTCACTGCCAGTGTCTGCACCCCAGCTCCTGAAGAGCTCATGCCCTGTTGCTACTAGCAACTGCTCATTCCTAAAGCACAGCCCCTAAGCAGCTTAATGCTGATTGATGGGCAGAAATATGATATTTTCTGAAGTGGATCAGAGCAGGGTGCTGGTGCAGAGGCCCTGCTTGTCTCTGAGACCTGCAAACTGGCTGGGAAGGGGACTCTCCTCTTGGCCCCATCCCACCCTACTCCTCAGGGAAAAGGGAATGTTAAGGTACCTTCATCTCCTGAAATTAAACACAGTCACGTTTCTTTCCTCGTAACTGGTAGCCATCCTGGCATTTTAATTTTATCGTCTTTGAGGCTTCTTTTGAGTTGTATAAACTAAACGAGATGCCTATTCATAGCCACTGGCACTTCTTTAAAAAAAATTTTAATCCCCACCTTCTACACCCCTCCCTATACACAGGTACATAATAAAGATCACATCTCTAATAACCAGAATTATTTTTGTAAAGATTCACAAAAGCATTTTCCAGAAGGAAATTTCAAATGAGTACCTTTTACTTAGTCACTTCTTTTTTTCACTCTGAGCCTCCTTCCTCCTAAGACGTAGAGTTGGTCATTTCCATGTCTAGAAAGAGTCCAGGGAAAAAGTCTGCTCATCTGGTACTTAGACTGGGTTAACCATGGAATGTTTTGTGATTTTTCATTTTAATCCTACTCAGACTGCAGCAACCCTTTCCTTTCTGGGATGACAGCCTTATTCTCCAGGCCATCACAGTCTAATACAGATGTTCTGGGGAGCCATACATTTCTGCCCTAGGGAATTTTCTCCTTTCCTCCAATGCTGACTGCAAAGGACCAGATTTGATGATCAAAGAAATTATCTTTAGGAAAACTTACTCTTTTGTGATGTTTCTTCTTCCAAGCCCCTCATTATTTTTGGCACCATATCTTCATTAAGTTGTCCTGTTTAGACTTTTTCTTGGCCAGTGCTAGTTGCTTTGGAAAATGACATGATCTTTTTGAGTCATTCATTTATTCATGCAAACAAAACTTCATTGTAAGGGGGTTCCCATATACTTAGCATTAATATATAAGCCCTAAGGTGGAAGTGGAACAAAGAGGAGGGCCAAATGGACATCACCCTTTTCAAGCCTCCGTTACATCTGGATTGTGCTTATGGCTATGGTGGTTAATACTATAACAGCATACTTCATTTGATTAGGACTTTACAGTTTACAAAGGGCTTTCCCAGGCGTTATCTCCTTTAATCCCAGCAGCAGGAATTTTAAATAGCAAGGATTCCACCAAAAGGCCCAGTAATGCTCACCAATCCTGCTTAACCAAAAAGAAAGAGAATATTGCAAATCATTTCAACAGCTGATGGGGTTTTAAAAATACAGAATAAACAATTCAGAGGAAGCTTATGAAGCTTAGTCACTGGAATGTAACTTGGAGAACATAAGTGAAGTGCATGCAACGCATATATAAGCAGGAAGGCATGCTGGGAAGAAACTCCATCCTGCAACCTTGGTGGCCCTAGTGAACTGCTGGCTCTTGGAGGTGGAGGCTTTCCAGGGCTCGGGACAGTTGCCTTATGGGAGGATCTAAAATGGGATGAAAGTGTTAGTACAAAGTTGCTGGGAGACTAGCAAATTAAGCAAAATGAGTAGGCAATGATGTTACTTTCTTTAGCTACAAAGCATTCTTGAGTTATCCACAAGTTTCTAGCATATATTTACTTGAGAAGTAAAGCACTTTTCTGTACTTAAAACCTAAAAAAATGAATTTGTGGACCTTGTCAGAGCCATAATGAAGATAATCAAGGTTTTGATAGAGTTTTACTCATTTGAAAAGCAGGCCTGTCTCACATGGATACGTGTAGTTTCTCTTGTTTTATATTTTGTAGGGAGGATGTGTAGAAGCTCTTCCTGAAGATTTGTTCCTTTTCTTTGGCTCTTTTAGTAGGAAAGGAAACCCTCTCTGACTTCTTCATTACGCATAGCTTTTGTTACTTACCTCCAGAAACAACTTCTAGAATGCTAGTTGAGACTTACAAATTTTGCTTAGCAGTTCAGATATCATGTGAATCTTCTTGGATGTTATTCCTAAAAGCTTTATTCAAAGAAGTTTTATAAATGAGTGTAAATTATGGTTAAGGCTGGCTTTGAGTATGATTGGATAGGCCAAGAAGGTATCACAGGGCATAGTCTGTTATGAGGAAAGTTAGAGATACTCAAGCTTTTTCTTATTTAACACTGAAGCTTCGTGGCAATTCTTAGATGTGTGGGTATTTTGCTAGATTGTTTACTCAAATCTATTACAGGTTGAGTATCCCTTATCTAAAATGTTTGGGGCAAGAACTGCTTAGAATTTTTATATTTCTTTAAAAATGTTGAGTATTTGTATACACATAATGAGGTATCTTGGGAATGGAACCTAAGTTGAAACAGGAAATTCATTTCATATATACTTTATACATATCACCAAAGGTAATTTTACACAAATTTTTTGGTGCACCAGTGTTTTGACCATGACCTATCACATGAGATCAAGTGTGGCATTTTCTCTTTGTGACATCATGTCTTTGCTCAAAAAGTTTTAAAGTGTGGAATGTTTTAGATTTCAGATTTCAGATTATGGATTTTCAGTTTATATTATGCATTTGGCATTCCTGCATATTTTCCTTCCTGAAAGTTCTGGCATTTTGGTTTTGAGCTAACCTATGCCTCTAAGTTGGTTTTATGTCCAGTAGAAAGCATGCAATAAAAATTATATGTATCTGTTTGGGAAATAAGATTGGACATGGTGGGTCTGTTGAGCCCCTTCTGATGAGCTTTGGGTTATCAAATGAAGTTTAGAGAAGTGGGGTCAACAATGACTTTAGGTATACTTTGATTTTTGTATTTAATATGAGAGATGAGCAGGAAAAGTTATGGGCACTTCATTGATGACCAGACCCATCATGTCTCAGGGCAGACTGTCTTCCCCATTACTTCCTAATCTAGGCTCCCATTATATATTCATTCAATCTGTAAGTACTTGCTGAGGGGCTGTGTTAGAGAACAAGTCTTCTTGCTTATTATGCAGAACTGTACTTTTTCCTGCTTAGCCAATAGGTGGGTTTCTTTCAGATATCTGGTAGTTTTGTCTTTGGGGTATGGTATAGGCATGATTTAAAGGCAACAGAATGTGAGTGTTTGAGAGATTTTCTTGCTGCAGTGACATAGTACAGAGCTGCTGCTGAGGGCTGCTCCCCCTGGCTGGAATTACTTCCTAGAAATTACACTCTTCTGCCTGCTTTCTCCAAAATTCAGTCTTCATGTGTCTCTTCAGCTCTCAGAGTACGTGGCAATGGATTAAATAAAGAGTTCATGTCAGTGTGTTACTCATCACCCATAGCAGAGCTGTTTCAAATTAGTAGACATGGACCTAACATGGTGCTTCAAAGAGGGTGCTGATACTCAGATTGTCAGGTACTGTAGTAGGTAGGAGAAGATTAGGGAGGAGGGGAGAAGTTAACCATTTTTTATTGAGTTGGAAAGAGTTGAACATGTGACAGCACGTAATGGCATAGGTAAAACTGTGGCCACTAAAAAAGTGGAAGTTTTATGAGCTCGGTGTTGCTAAAGCTTGTTTTGTGGCTGGTGGTTACAAATTCACACTCAAAAGTCACATAGCCTGATTCCACTATTTATTATTGATGTGATTTAGAGTAGGTTTTCATCATC